AGGAGCTGGGCAGGGTGGAGGAGTTCCAGCCACAGCAACAGCAGCATCAGCAGTTCAAGCTCCACCAAAAAGTCCCACAAAGGCGTCGAAAACCAAAGCGTCCTCCTTCTGGAGTAAAGTTTGGGAGAGATCCCAAAAGGCTGGGGGGGGGGATTGGTTCAAGTCTGGAATTACATGGAGAGGATTTCTCATCAGAGGTTGCCAAAGTGAGAAGTGTTACTATGCCATTGGAGGACAAAGCAGCTGACTGGATGGTGGCTCTACACAAGGATGATTCTCCCCAGCTGAGGGATTACAATGTATTTATGATGTCCCTGAGGACATGCTTTGATGATACCCTGCAAATCAGAAGGCAAGAACCAGGATGAAAACTTTAACCCAGGGACAGAGATTTGTGGCAGAATATACTCAGGAGTTTTGTGAGCTGTCGGTGCATATGCGGGGGATGTCACAGGAGGCATTGATGGACAGCTACATGGATGGACTTAACAACAATGTGTACCAAAGCTGTGTGAACAGCCTCCCCCCCCTGCAATCTGCAATTCTGCTATGTGCTGGCAGCTGATGTGGAAAGTGACCTAGCCAGAAATCAATATCATGGAAGCAGCAACTGGAACAACCCCCCCCCTCCCTACCCCAAAAGAGGCACCAAGAGCAGGAAAAGGGGGGGGGTCAGCAACCAAGGCCAGATCAACAACGTGTTTCCAATGTGGAAAGGAGGGGCATTGAGCTGCCGACTGCTACTCTAAGCTTGGCCCAAAACCAACTTCACCAGGGGAAGAAACCCGACAAGCAGCCAGGGAAATGCCACAAAACAGACCTGAAAGGCATGGAAGTCACTGATTTCCTTCCTCCAGGCCAGGAGGGGAAGGAATCCCCACTTTCATCTGGAGAAAGAGAAACCGATTCCAATGATGACCCCATGGTAAGTCCTCATGCATGCCTATGACCATCCCAGTACAACTAAAAGTGCCACCTGGGGGGAGATGCTGGTCCTTTTAGATTCTGGCTGCACCACATGTTTTATTAGCCCAGAAGTGGTGGAAAAATGGGTTTAAGACTGAGAACTATGAAATTACCCATCACTTTTTTTCAGTTGGATGGGTCAGTTGCTGGAGGGGTGGTGGTGGCCCATTTTGTAACTGAAGTGATAGAGATGTGGATGGGGGGACTACCAAGAATCCTTGAGTTTTTTTGTGGCACCAGGGAGGGAACGGCCCCTCATACTGGGATTGTCTTGGCTATGGAAATGGAACCCTCGACTGGTGGAAGGGGTGGCTATGCAGCAATTCGGCCAAGCCGACAGAGGGGGAGGGGAAGACTTCCCACCAAGCCAGAACCGTAACAGACCTGACAGCATTTTCGCGTGAGAAAATTGAGGGAGAGGAAAAAATTCTGAAAGAGTATTGGGATCTCAAAGAAGCTTTCAGTGAAAGGGCTTCTGACAAGCTCCTCCCCCCTGTGTGCCACTGATTGCAGCATGGAAATCCTCCCAGGGGAGAAGCTCCCTAAACCACAGATTTACTTGACGACCCCACCTGAACTAGAGGAATTACACAACTTCATTGATAAAAACTTAAAAACTTAATTTTTTTCATCAAATTAGATTTAAGGGAGGCCTACTACAGAGTCTAAATAAAGGAAGGAGATGAGTGGAAGACTACTTTCAATTGCCCTCTGGGGTGTTTCCAGTTTAGAGTACTCCCATTTGGACTGCAGGGGGCGCCAGCCATTTTTATGCAGTTGATTAATGTGGTGCTGCATGAACACCTGTATAAGAGGGTGTTAGTTTACCTTGATGACATTCTTGTCTACATGGAAACACTAGAGGAACACATAAAGCTGGTGTGCTCAGTCCTCAAAAAACTCCAAGCCGCTGAACTTTATGCTAAATTGTCTAAGTGTGAATTTCACCAGGAGAAAATTGACTATTTGGGGTACTCTCATGAGTGTATTGAAATGGATCCGGAGAAAGTCTGGGCTGATACAGAATAGGTGGCGCCCTGCACCCACAAGCAGCTACAAAGTTTTTTGGGATTTGCCAATTTTTACCAC